AGTATAAGTACAATAAAACAAATAAGAAGGAAAAAAAAAAGAAAAAAAGCATGTACACAACCAGCATAGAGCCACACCCACAACCGGTACAGGACCAAATTGCAAGTGAATCCCTAAGCCATCGCAAACATGCATAAGCTTGGCAACCGATAATACAATTAATTTACGACTTATAATCACTTTTTAAAGTTAAAATTTAATTCAAGTACGACATAGGTAAATCGCGCGTATTAAGCAGTGTTGCTTTAAAGAGTCCGTTAACGAGTATAAGTAATAGACGTCATTTAGGTTCTTGCAAACAACTCTGAGCGGGTTAAACAGTTTGTAATTATATTTGCATTGACTAAGCTTTATCAAGATAAAGTGCGTAGAGAAGCGGTTAGGAACATTTAAGCCTATCTCACGAAGTAATGCGGGCGAGTCAATTGCACCATTTATTAATTTGATTACGAAGGAAACCCCAAGAACGAATCTACGTTTCTCCAGTGACGGTAAGGATAACAGAAGTAACCTATTTTCATAGGGTGGAAGAGGGGCAATCGGAATCCACCTAAATTCCCAAGGGCAAACAACAAAAATTGCTTTTGAACAGATTCAATTGAATCTAAATAGCACCTATATGAAGGAGACTACACAACTGAGGCATACTCGAGTCTGGGTCTATACAAAAACATGTACAGCCTTTTCGTAATGGAGGGATCATCAAGCTCTTTGGACCACCTCTTTATAAAACCAAGCGCGGACCTAGCTTTGCTTAACGAGAGTTCAATATGCAAATTGAAACGTAACCTAGAATCAAATAGAACGCCTAAATCTGTGAAAGCATCGACGTCTGCCAACTTGTGCGAATCAATGAAATATTGAGTACTGAACGACTTCCTTCTTGAGAAAGAAAGCTTATTACATTTATTTAGATTTAGTTTCAGAAGATTGAACATGCAACCAAATTATTCAAATCACTCTGAAGATGATGTGATTGCGATTCTACGGAAAAGGAAGAAAACAGTTTCACATCATCAGCATACATTAAGATCTCGCTGAATTTAATCACCGAAGGCAAATCATTGATGTATGATTTAAATAAAATGGGTTCTAAGTGGCTACTTTGAGGTACGGCAGACGTCATGGGAAATTCATCCAAGGTGATGAAGTTAAACAGATCCCTGAATGATCTACCATGCAGATAAGAGCTTAACCATTCCACTAAGAAGAAAGGTAAGCCAGAAGCTTGGATAGAAGATAAGTAGTCTATGGTTAACCAAATCAAACGCTTTGCTTAAATCAGCGTATATAACATCTGTGCGAGAGCCACTAGAAAAAGCCTTGAAAACATGACAAGTAAACTCTAACAAGTTGGTGACTGTAGATCTTCTCTTTCGAAGACCATGTGGGAGAGGAAAAATATACGATTTCATGGAAAAGGCTATATGCTGAGCCATAATTCGCTCGAACAGTTTAGGCAAAACACTCAACTTGGCAATGCCTCTGTAGTTCTCTACAAGTTGCCTACTACCATTTTTGTGAATAGGAATAAGGAAAAAAGTCTTCCAACACAAAGGGAAAACACCTGAATTCAAGGACTTGTTAAAAATCTTTGAGATAACACCATATAGCTCGCCAGCACAAGATATAAGTACACATGAGGGGATTCCATCAGGTCAAGGCGAACAGTTATATTTTAGAGAGCTCAAACCTACAAAAACGTCCTTTTCAGATATAACAAAGTTAGGAATTGAAATTAAATTAGAAATCGGATATGGATAGTTTGCTGATAAATCGAAATTAGCAATCGAAAAGTTTCGTCGGAAATACTCAGCAAACAGATTTGAGATTTCAAAATCATTCGAGGAATCAGACCCATTAAAAGAAACATACGAGGGATATGTGGAAATTTTTCTTTAAGAGTTAACAAATTTGAAAATGTATTTAGGATTAGCGAACAGAGAGGATTTAATGGACTGAAGGCATCTGCATTAATAATAGTGGTTGAAGGAGTTAAATGTATGCCTCGCCACCGAGTAAGCGAAATAGTCGAGCGCAGAGCCACTTTTCGAATATATTTTGAATAGCGTGTTTTTCCTATTCTTGTAATATTTAATTGTCTTATTAAACCAGAGGGGACACCTGCTTGATTGGAGCAGATGCAGCAATAGCTAAATTTAATGTATTGTAGAACGACGATAATAAGCTATCGATATTTCCCACTGAGAAATCAAGCACAATATGCGAAAGATGTGATTTTAGCATGGAAACATTGATTTTATGGAAATCATAAAATTTATGCGAAAAATATGAATTTGGAACGTTATGGAAGTTCAACGAACCAACATGCTTGTAATGAAAGGAAATACCCAATGCTGGATGTTATGGATCCTCAGGTAAACTAAACGGAAGACAACGATTAACACAAATCTCAGAAAAATTTGCAAAGCAAAGATCAAGCAATCTTCCATTGCAATTAGGGGTACCATTGTATTAAACTAAATTATGGTCAAATAATTCATTAAAGAACACAACGGCTGTACCAGAGATTGAGGTAGGAATCAAACAGCTCGAACTATCACTGCAACACCAAGTGACTTGAAGCAAACTGAAGTCCCCCAACGCAATGACTATGTTGGTAGGTTTAGATTGCTTGGCTACTTCACAAATGAGGGCGGCCTGCTTCATATATACAGAGATACTCGAATTTGGGGGAATATAGGAGCAGGTCAAATATAAGTGTTTATTAGGAAATTTCAGTCGAATGGTAATAAATTCAACGTCGGGAGTAGTTGGAAATTCAAGTGAATAGGAGGGAACTGCCGAAGAAATGGCAATTAAAACACCACCACCATTGTGAAACAATCGATCGTTTCTGAAAACTTGAAACGAATTATGTAAAAGTTCCGACGAATGTAGATCCAGCTTTAACAATGTTTCAGCGAAGACCAGACAGGAAAATTCTGTGCTCACTGAATTTAGGAAGGTAGAACGAGTTTTTGAAGGCCCCTAACATTTTGATAAATGAGAGAAAATGAGCCTGAAGAAATATTTAGTTTTTTGAGGGGGAAAGAGCTACTGCATTAGCATTACGGGGTCGATCTCGAGGGATAAATTCCTTAATTAACGATCCAACCGGCCACAATGGTTTATTTAACATCAAATCCATATTTTCAGATAGCTCTAGATTGGGAAGGAGCTAATTTGAAAATACTACTGCGTTTTAAATTGACAGAAGCGGCTTTCGCTGCCAGACAACTTTTTATGTTATCAAGTGATGTATCTGGTGCCAGTCTTGACACAAATATTGCCTTTCTGGGAGGAACTGCCTTCAAGCATATGTTGTCTGTACTAGGAGCAGCAGGGTTGACAGATGGGGAGTTATGAGTTGGAGAAAATATAGAAGGGGTAACCACACTTGCACGAGCACCTTGTGCGACGTGCTCAGTTTGGCGACCAGCGTTTACACTCGAGCAGCCAGGAGGAGGGGACGATTTACTGTTATCATTATTAGTTTTAGGCGATGAGGCCTGAGAAGATTGAGTGACATCAATGGGAGGAGATACCCTTGCCACTTCAGCATAGCTCAAGCCAGAAGGACTTCCCGCTTTCTTTGTAACTTTTATGTTACCGACCGACTCAGCCGTAGCAGAATCACTAACATTCTTTGTACACTTTAAGCAATCGCTAACTTGGACCGACGGAACGGACTTAGGAGAATTCAGAGGTGACGAACCAGACGCTACGCTACGAGTTGAAACTTTGTTAGCTGGAGAGGAAAATGAGAGCGCAATATAACGACACTCATCAAACCGAGTCTTGATTAATTCAAATTTCTCCCACAAAGAGCCGAGATTTTTGCTCACTACTGAGAACAATTTCTCGTCTCCGTGAAGAGTTTGTAGAAATCAATGTACGGCTTTCCGCAGTCAGGTCATGACCATCGTAAACCTTTAGAAGGGTCAAGGACTGCATCAGCAGCACGGCCGGTAATACCAGCACACTTTGCATGTCCAAAACGGTCACACAGCCAACAAGAAATGAATCGTTCAGATTCAGGGCCAGTTTTCGCACGACATGGTGTAAATAAACAATCCATGTCCCTTGAAAACGAAAAAAGTAGCTTATGACAAAATGAAACTAAAAAAAAAAAAAAATTTTTTTCCAGGGCACAAATTTTCAGGAAAATTAAAGGAAATTTCTCACTTCCCTGCCAACTGTAAATATAGAGCGAAAGCTAAAGAAACTGTAAACACAGATTAACAGGCGAAAAGAGAGCTCAATTGTTGCTTACAATAAACCAAAATGTTTTTATCACATAAATGGTTATTACATTCATATACGTTAAATTCACCCTTTATCCTTTTAGAGAATTTTTTAAAATTAAACACGAATAAAGCAAAAAAGCTAAGAAATACACTAAAAAAATTGAAATATTTCTTGCACAGAATAAAAACGCGACTACAAGACGCACGCAGAGTTGCCAAACTGATGTTCGCCAATTGATTAATTTTTGCTATTATAGCAAACAAAATAAAACTACAAACGTCAATATTTTTTAAATAATAATATTTTACTCATACGCATTTCCGAAGAACGGTATCTTTTAATTTGTTGTAAAAAGTACATGTCTGTTCGCTTTCAAATCTGCAAAATTTTTAGGCCTAAAGAAACTGGGCATGTAAATATATTCTTGGCCTGTAATGCATAATCTGAATTTTCTAGAAGTTTAAAAGAAATACTTTAATTAGTGTATATAGCGTATGTAGTATATGTAATTCCAATGCAAACGTAATTTTTTTCCGATCTTTTGTTCCGTGAATTCCTGTAGGGCTTTTTCTTCTATTAAAATTTATATATTGTTTTTCCTTGTTAAATTCATCGCTTTTCGACTTGGAAAAAAAAATGTGCTAGGGTTATGTTTTGCTAAGTTACTTATTGTTAACTTTGTACAATTACGGTTTACTCTACAACTTCGACATTTATCACTTAGAAATAAAATTCTTAATTTGTTCCAGTATGAATTGCTATTTTGCGTTGAAGACAAAACTGATCCTGCTATTCAGTTGGTGGAATCTTTAACAGCCAAATATCCACAAGTGGAAGCTTCCATATTTTTGGGCGGCTCAAACGTTGGCGTAAATCCCAAGATTAATAATATGCATCCTGGCTATGAGGCAGCCAAATATGAGCTCGTTATGATTTCTGATAGCGGTATCAAAAGTAAGTACGTATTTCGGGTTTATACGCCATTATTTTTATATGTGGCTTACGTCGTCATATTCGCTGCAACCCATATTGTCATTATATTCAAGTCTCTGTGTTTTTTAGTCTGAATTTACGAGGTTTAAAGCACGGTAGCAAAGTTACTAAAAAACTGTATTTTTATATCGATATTTAAAGATGACAAATCCTTCAATTTTAACATATATCTCTAACATCAAGTTTTTTTATTCTGTTGCTTGTATATATCTTCGATCAAACCAAAAGTTTGCATGGGTCGAACCTTTTGAATTTCCAAGGGCTTGTGAGGTGATAATTGAATAGTTATATTATTCATCAAGACTAAACAGCTCAAGACTAAAATAGCTATTATCAAATATACAATTGACTCTTCTGGCGTACGTTTAGCATATATTCCTATTATAATATTGATGAAATTATCGCTTTTCACTCTGATATCTTAGTTGGTTATGGTAAATATTCGACTGAAACTATGGAAAACCATAGTGATTTTTCTCCTCATAGATGAGCTTACAATCGCGTAAGTTTGCCAGTATTAACGGTATGAAAACACATATTTGTGAAAAGTGACAGTGTAGAGCCAATTAAAAAAAACCGTACCGCGGCATCTGCTAATATAGCCGAAAGTAGTTACGTTTTGCAGAGCCTAAATTGTGAAAAAAATTACTGTAGTTAACAACATTATTTCGATCAAGGCAATAGTGCTACAGGTAGTAGGATTGTAAAAATCCACGTGGTTTCTATAATAAAAATTTGATAATAAAAATTACAATCCACATTGTCTGTGTATATGATGAAGTATGCCAAGTTAACTAGGGGTCTGCATTCCACGCAGTTCAACCTGCTATTTACATTACAAAAAAATCGTGTTTTGTGCTGCGAAAATTATCTATAATCGGGCTAACTTTTAGCACTTTCAATAAGTTTTTAGGAATTAACAGAGGTTTTCTAAGCCCAGAAATATCAATAGTAAATATCATTCATTATGCTGTTCGGATACATGTTTAATTAAATAAATCGTACTGAAATAAATGTTGTCTAAAACGGTAGTGACGCAGCTCAACGCTTTTGGGAAATAAAATGTCTTTGATGGCGAATAATATTAACCCTCTTAGGCAATAAGAGCCATTTGTCCTTTCAGTTTTACTTAGTCTTTTACATCGTGGCAACGCGATATTGCCCGAATCAATTTAGTAAAATGTAATATAGAACTCCATATCGCCTCAAATCTTAACTAACGTCATAGTGTTGATGACGTTGACAGAACGTTATTGTTGAATATTTATGTTTTCAAGTGTTTTGTTATAATGGGTTCCTTCAGGTCATATTTCTTACCAACTTCGTTAGGTGAATAACCGAAGGAATTTAACGCGCTTCATCTAGTTGAGTCTCACGGTACGTCCAAAGATATTAATGTGTAGTCTTCACACATTTTTGCTTCAGCTTTGTACTCTTTTAGTGTGTTATATGCTAATTAATTGACTTCAAAAGCGTATAAGGCAAGGATTCTTGTGCTACAGTTATGTACTTATACTAATGACGACTTATACACTGATATATTCGATATCGATTTCCTCTACATTTCTTTCTTTGTTTAACAATTCATTATAACATTATATTATTATACATGTGAAAGTTAAATAATTTACAAAATTTCTTTAAAGCATGACTACGAAAAAAGGAATTCCGACAACATAGTTTTCAACAATGTATGATCTAAGAATGTTGTCCTTACTAACTGCTTTTTTGCTAGCCATACCAACCTTAGCCCATATGTTTTCTTTCAAAATCTTTCCTTCTTTCACTATTCTGATCCTAGAACTTTACAGAATTATTATGTGGCAAAGTGAGTAAAATAGTGTTCACAGTTTCCATATTTCAATTTCAATTGTTATTTGCAGGTGTCATGGTTTCTATTGTCCACCTCATTGACAATCTTGTTGGCTACATTTTAACTTCTTCGTGGGTATATTTCTATACCCTAACAATATTTACCAAATCTTAGTTTTATAACCATTACACTGTAAAGCAAAGTTTTCAGCGACCTGCACCATTCTTTCCGTTAATCTATTCTATTTGAGATAATACGGACTCGTACTGGTTAATTTAGTATGTGCATTCTTTGAAAATTGTTACAATTCTTATGCTCCCATAGGAACATTATCCAGAACCGTATCCATAAATAGGAAACGGAATTACAAGTGTTACGCAAATTTTTTTTTTTTTTTTTTTGATCGACCACTCAGGGCATGGCCCTTATACGTGCAAGCGGTGATCTTTCTATAACTCTTCCTGATCATCGTGCTAGCAGCCGGAAAATTTTTTTTTTCAACCGGAACTAACTTTTTCAAGAAATCACTTCTAAATAAATAACCTTTTCTAATAACCTTCATTATGTTTATAGATATTTTTCGCAAAGGCCACTGGAGATTTCACGAGCCAATAATTAGCTCTTTTGAAGAGTAATATTTTTGGCATATCTTAGATTTGGATATCATTGACGCAATCTGTTTAAGCAAACAATAACATTTGCTTTATTTTGTGTCGTGTTTTCCTGTACGAAGAACCTAATATTATAAGTTTCAAAATTACATTATTTGTTACAATTGAATAGATAGAAGTTAATATATATAAAAAAGTATATATATATATATATATATATATATATATATATATATATATATA